TGGCTACTGTGCATATCATTTGGGTCCCTAGAACGAGGCGCAAGGGTTGTGATGTTGCTTTGGGTTTGTCATTCGATGGCTGCGGACGAGACTTTCACCTCGGTTGCGGCTCTGTTGATTGCCCATAATAAGATGGCAAAAAACTAACCGATTCGAGAACTAATTCCAGTTGAAAATCCAACTGCTAAGGCGAGCCCTTCCCTGTGCCCATCTCCTGTCGCAGCTGCCTTGTGTAGGGCCTTTGGCCCTCACTCGTATTAGCCATAATTGTATGCAGTGGCGGACGTGTTGTCTGGACTGCATGGGGAGTGTACTATTAAATGGTTGATGGGACTGGGACTGGGACTGGGACTGCAACTTCTGCTTCTAGGAATGTGCGACCTTGCCACTGTTTTGTTTTGTTTTGTTTTGTTTGCCATTTGTGGAGTCCCCTTGGGTTGCGGTTCCTGCGATGCGTTTGCTGTTCATATTTTATGCAAGTAATGTTTTGATTTGTTCAGTTGTGCGGACACACCCACACACACCCACGCAAGTCCCATTCCCAGACGCGATCAATTTCTGTTTTGACATTTCTGGCTGTCAGGGGAGTTGAAGTGTGTCTAATTGATGTTCCACTGCCACTCTGGCACTCTGCCACTCTGCCACTCGGGCAGGTCACAGACTGTTTGGCCGTCTAAACAGTTGCAGAACTTTAATTTTAATCGAAAAACCAATATCAAAGAAGACAAAGGATGGGCAGGGAGCAGAGACAAACACTCGAGTGACATCTGCTGGTTGTCCTGGTGACAGTTTTATAACACTTTAAACATTATTTGGTCCTGCGGGTTGCGTTACGTGTTTATTGCCCTGCCTTGGCCCAATCCCTGCTCTGCCGTAGTCCTGCCTCGCTGGCAGGACATGCGTGTCCAATCGCGTTAAGCGTCTGTTCTGGCGACAGTGAGAAAAGGGTTGCTCGGGGCATGTCCTGGGTTGGGTCTCTGGAACTCTGCCCAGTGATGCAATTAAGAGTTGCGCTGCAAATGTGCCATGACAATGCAATCCCAGGGTTGGGCCACATCGTTAGATTTTACGATGCGGCTTGGGCAGCCCCAAGCCCCAAACAAAGTTCCCATTGGCAGTTCCGATTGCCTTTTCCTAATTGAATTGAAGAACTAACTTCCAGTGAGTCATAATTTGGGGCAGGCTGCTCTTGGCAGGTTCGTAAACTCCTAAGCTCCCAAATTCCCCTTGCCGACTCAAATGGCTTGTTTTGCATGTTAACAAGACACTTCCGCTCCTGTTGGCTAATGCCTGAGCATGGAATTTCCACATTTTCACGTGTCAACGGCAGAGCTGAAGTATTTTCGTTGCATAATTAACCCAGCCCACCCATCAGGGTGTCTCTGCCCCAGACTTGAGCAGGTGGCAAAGGCATTTCCTTATGGTTTAGTTGGGGGAAACTGTGGGCAAAACTTGGCTGAAACTCAATCGATTTTCAAGCTCACTCCCACTGCCATTTGTCTAGAGTCTAAATCACTTCTCGCAATGATCCTCGTTTCGCTCCATCAAGGACTGCATCCATTAAGATACACTGCCAGAAGATAGGGTGAACTTTGGGTTTACTTTTGAGTATTCCAATCTTTGGTGCCCCCAAAGCTTGCTCCTTCTTCTTTATTTTCTTTCGACTGGCAGAGGCAGAGGCAGAGGCAACAGCCACAGACAGCGCAGCAAATGTCAAATACGCAGATCTTGGCAGCAGATTGGCGCTACGTGGGTGGTCGCCCAGAGAGAGAGACGCTGAAACTCTCGTCAGACAGCAGGACACACCCACATGCATGCATGGGATCGCATCATTGGGGATCAATGAAACCGAGTGGCAGGCGATCGGAGTGGTTGCAGGGAGCAGTTGGGAAGCAGTTGCAAGATTTGCATGCACCAGCCCCGAAAAACTCATTAAGCCGCTGGGCATTAGATGCGCGGCCACTGGGGAATGCTATGGGGGGAATGCTCGTAAATCTTGTGCTAGTTTTTGGCTAAAAGGGTGCCGCCCCACAGGCACACAGGCACACAGGCACACAGCACGCAGTGGGGCTGGGGGCAGACGGAGGCTGAGCGCATTTCGTTGTAAGTTTGTGTTTCATTAATAATCCGAGACCGAAACGGAAAGCGGGCTGACTGGTTGCTTGGCGGACTCTCTTCATAAATCTTGTGTCGCATAATTACAGTTAAAATTTATAAGCTTATCTCCTTAGCCGCAAATTTATTAGCGAACGACCAGGCAGAGTCCAACAGCCAGCATCCCAGCATCCCGGCATCCAGCTACGTCCACGAACGTTCGTCAAGTCGAATAATGTCGCTGGCCTGTCGTCTGCACTGCAACAAAAAACCTCAACCAGAAATGGAGAATTCAACAAAGGCAAATATTCCCTTGATTTGTTCACAAGATTTTCCATATTTGCTCAGCATAATTGATTAAAGTCTAGTCTAAATATGTGAGGATTGTAATTTTGAAGTAAAATTTCACTAATTTCTCTTAGTGCAGGTGCCAGTTCCCGTTCCCGTTCCCGATCTATACCCGGTTCCCGGTTCGGCTGCGTTCGGTTCGCTCATTAAACGGTCTCCAAGTATCGGCTAAAAAATGTGTATTTAAAACGGCGTGAAAAACAATTTGTTGCCAATTTTATGACGCCTCGCCACTCAGCCTCAGCTGACCTGCCCCGTCCTCTCTCTATCTGTATCTCTCTCTTCTCCTGCTTTTGCTCTCTTGCTGCTGCTGCTGCTGCTGCTGCTGCTGCTGCTGCGCCGTCTGCTGAGCTTGTGCTGGTGCTGATGCTGAACAAATTCATTTGAAGTCTGTGGTCTTTGGGTACTAAGTGTCAACCCCATAGATTTATGCGTATTGTCTTTTTTTTCGGGTTACTCGCTCTCTCTCTCTCTCCCTCTCTTACTCTCTTGCGCATTCCGGGAACACTGACAGAGGCCTGGGGGCCGACGCTGGCTCGGACTCAGACGCGAGCTCGGATTCGGATTCGGACACGGACACGGACACGGACTGGGAGTCTGGCCAAGGCTGCGACCTGCCAGACATTAATCATTTGGCGGAGGGGTTCGGGGAGGGACAACACCAGCACCAGCTACAGCTACAGCTACAGCTACAGATCCAGCAGCGGCAGCATTCGAGGCGTTGTAATGTGTTGTCCCTGAGGGGGAGCAAGGGTGCCGGGCGGTAAGGGTTAAGGTGGCAGCGGGATTAATGTACGCGGGCAAGGTATTTGAATGGGCCTTTTTATGGTCACATTTATTGAATTTATAACGTAATATACTCGCCCCCCAAACCCATGGACCATGACGCATGGAGAGGAGATCCTACTTCTCCATTCGTAGTAGGACTGCCTCCCCCCCTCTAAAGAAACAAAAGACAGGGTATCACCACATTCCAGAAACAGAGTGGCGCGCAGCCGTAAAAAACGTATGCTTAAACAAAATACTCTCCACTATAAATTCAACAAAATATTACTAACCTTAAATTGACTTTTTATGAAGTTATATCTCTGTCGAACCGATGGCGACGCGTGCCATAAAAAATCACTTAAGAAACGCGAAAACTCCCACGCACACCCAGCACAGCACCCACAAAACGCACTACGGCTGAGAACAGGCGCGGAGACGAACACAAATGGACATGCAAATAAAGTGCAATACCTTAGCTTACTGCTCTCTCAAGGTCTATTTGCACAAGGTGAGGCTTTCAGAGAGAGTGCTCTTACAGTTGCCTACAAACTTTCCTCTCAATTAATTTCGTTTGCTTTGGGTCGAACACAAGAGTGTTGGTGAGAGTGCCTTTCCCTGCACGCATACCTTGATTAAGCTTGCGTTGGTTCCGTTCGCAATCTCGTTCTGCCTCTCTCTCCTGATCTCTTTGTTCCGCTGCTCAATGCACAAACAAATGTCGCCAACAATGAAACCCAAAACCAAACTGTAAATCATTCACGGCGAATTAAGACGTTTTTTTTCGCAGGCCAAGGTGATGGCGAATTTGTTTTTGCTTTTAACTGTTGCTGGCTTCGATGTTAAACGGAACTGTCAAGCGTTGGGAGCGACACTCTCAATGCGTTCGATTTGCCATAACATGCAAAACAAAATTTAAATATTCAATAAGGCAGCAACTATAACTGTTACACATAAAGTTTATTGCCCGCAGAAAAGATTAAAACGAGAAAGCAAAAGGAAGTGTTTTAAAGCCGAAGATTTAAATACTCTCTTTGATCATTCGTTAATTAATATCAAAATGTTTGTACAACTATTTTCCTCAAGCATTTGCTTGCGATCCACACTTACACTCTTTTTCCCTTCCTCTCTCCATCCGCCAGACCCGCTCTCACTCTCTGCCACCCACCCGCTGGCAAAAGCCCATCGACGCAGCGCACTGACAGACACATTTAACACCTACACGATGTTGACGCTGCACTTTAAGCAAAGCTCTGCCGCCGTAGCCGTCGCCGTCGCGTAGACGCCGCTTTTGCCATCAAGGTGTCAATTTGTGCCGTTGGCAATACTCACACACACACAAGCAGCAGGCAGAGTGTGGAAGGGAGGGAGAGCCATGTGTGTGTTGTGTATGCAAATTTAATGGCTAAATTAGAGGAAGGAGAGAAACAAGAAAAAAAACAGAATTTAATAATAGTCGTAGTAAAATGCTAGGCATCTGTCGGAGTCGTTTATTAACCGCGATTATGCTCAAAGATAGCGCTTTGAAATCCAATTTGCATAATGAATTTTATTCGAATGTAAACTCCGCGCAATTGCCGCCAATCTCTTGGATCTGCGCCAGTCCCAATCCATTTCAATGCGATCCAATCCAATACGATCCAAATGTGGATTGTTAATTGAGTAGTTAATGATGACGTCGACGCCTACGGCCCACCAACTGGACGGTGGACCACCCACCTGGCCACGTTTGTGGGCCATAAAGAGATATAAAAAATTAAGCACAAATTATGCACAAATGCCACCCATAATGACAACGATCACGACGCGATATGCGTATAATTTAAATGTTTATTCAATTATTTAGTTGTGAATTTATGAATCTACTAGATATTATACAAAAACACGCACACACCAGAGGGTCTGCCACATCGACTCTGTGCGGCACTGCGGGACTAGAATATTGTACAACTTAAAGCGCTAAACTTACGTACTAAACCATAAATACTAATCGTAGATGGTACATATTGCTACCCCAGCGAGGGGTACGGTACGGTACATCTGCCCTATGAGGTCTCCTTGCAGGCGGAGGCGGCTGCCGCCTCTTGCAGTTCCTGCAGCTCCTCCTCCTCGCGGGTCAGCGGCACCGTCGAGTGGTTGTACAGCCCCTGGGCCATCAGCTGCAGGGCCAAGGGATTTTTGGTGCCGCTCGACTTTTTCAGCTTTGCCCGCTTGTTCTGGAACCAGATCTTGATCTGTGCCTCATTCAGGCCCAGCTCTCCGCTCAGCTGCTGGCGACGCTTCTCCGTTAGGTAGCGATTCTCATTGAATTCGTGCTGAGAACGAAGGAGGGAATATGGGTCAAGGTCGGTATGCATGGTATGTAATCGATCATTTATCGATCGGACTCCTCCAACTACTCACCTTCAGTCTCGCCAGCTGCGGCCCACTGAAGGCCGTTCGCGGCCGCTTGTCCTCCGGCACGTTGCCAGCATCCGTGTCCCCCTTGTCGCTGCTGCCGCTGCCACCCGCCGCACTGGCCGTCGATGGTTTCTTGGGCTTGCGAGCACGCGGACCTGCGGGAGAGAGGCGGAGGAGATGGATGGTGTGTGTGAGATGAGGTGGGCCATAAAAATTCCAGGCAACGCTTAATGGCATCAACATGACTGGACGTGGACCTGCCCTGCCGACTCATTGGGCACACATAAATCCTGCGCCTCATATATGCAGCGGCGATGTTCAGCAATTAATTCAAAATTTAAATGCGTCCAGACAACCCCAGAGGAACCCCGACAGCCCAGAGGACGGACCAGCCAAAACAATTAAAGTTTTTGGGAAATTTGCTCGCGTCATTTTCAAAAAGTAATCAACGCAATGACTTCTGACTGTGGCTAATTTCAGCACATCCCCCGTTTGTCTCGAGACACCACCACCCCCCAATGTTACATCATTCCCGACTTGAGTTGTCTTGGATTTAATTAACAGCGTTCGAGGCAGACAGCCGCAGCGAATCGCAAGAGACCACCCAACCCCTCCCGACGCACTTGATGTGGGTGCGCTCGGAAAGCAAATAAAATTCTATGCAAAATGTGAAAGTGGAAGGGAGGTTGGAAAAGTTACGCTCGTTTCGGAAATAGTTTCGGAAAACTGACACCGAAATGGAAATGGCAAAGCAGAAGATGAAGCAATTATGAGGTTTTACTAATGGGAATATTTCGGTCAGAGCCAAAGAGCCTTCAACTGACCGCAAGATGTTTTTGTGGCTCACGAAGGGCAAATGTGTCGAAAGTATTTTGCAATTTAAGCGCCTCCATCCATCATAAGAACAGTTTGGGGAGGCAATGGAATGTCGGCAGGACTCTCAAGAAACTCTGGAGAACATTTGAACAAAGTTCATTTCGGATTACACTCAATTTCTAAGCAATTTCCTGTGCAACTTTAATTTGTGCTTCGAAAGCATAAATTCCGCGGGAATCCTTCAACTCATCTGGCCGGCACTTAGTGCTCCAGCAAACCCTTAACCCAAAGTCTGTTCCGTAACACTTTGACCTGCAGCATGTTGATCCACTTAAACTTCCCGTTGACTGAGTTCCAGTCACCGGCGTGGCTTGTCCTCGTCCTTTACTTACTTCGACCTGCAACGGGAAGAAAAAAGCAAATTGAGAGTGTTAGAAAACAAGTAGAATTTCTGTACTTTTGGGGTGTTGGCAATTTAAAATTTAATTTACTTTTAACGCGAATCAATAAAATATCGGAAATTGATTAAATTCCACGACGTCAGGCAAACTTTTGTGCTGGCAAAACGTGCAGAAATGCCCCTCGAGCCCCCAGTCCAGGAATCGGCTATCTCGGGGCGGACGCCGCCAGGCAACAACCTTAAAAACAAATGTTGCGGCACTAATGGCAACGCAACCGAGCCAAGTCATGCCCTAAGTTAAATCGTTGGAAAAATTGAACAAATCAATTTTGTCAACGAAATGCCAAGGCGGCCGAAGGGCGCGAAATTAAACAAAGGAAAGGCGATGAAAAGTTCGAGCGGGGCGTGAGCATTGGGAGGTGTTATCACGGTTTTAAATTTCACACGCAGCCGACACAAAAAAATACCTTCCACGGGGAGCAGACCTTGAACCTGTCAGACAGCCGGGAGACGCTCAGTGCTGGCTGCCGCGTCATGGTGATGCCACCCCAGCCCAGCCCAGCACAGCCCAGCGCACATTGGCAAGCGAAGATAAGCTTCAAGCTGCATGCCACAGCGTCGCAAGGACATTGCCAAGGGGTTGGCTGTGGCCGTTGCTCGCCCCCGCCAGAAATGCAACAATTGCCAGCAAATCTTTTTCCTACCCCGCGCTCCGTTCCGTTTCTGTTTCGTTGTGGAAATTGTGATTTATAGCGTGCTACATTTTTCATTGCTTTGACACAATAAAAGTTATCCGAGGCGGCCCTCGGAATAGCCTTAATATAAATGGTATGAACTCAATCAAGGCATCGTCTCGCTGCTCTTAAAGGGATTTCTATGCATGAGCAGCGGCCGAGTAATTATTGGTAATTATTTGGCGCCTATTGGGCGTAGTTTGGGAAGTTTGTAGTGGAAATATTTGAGCATTCAACTTGAAGTTTTTGCAACACAATTGTGGCCTTGTTTTATGCTAAAAGCCAGACTCAGCCAGCTCAGCTGCGTCTTCGCACATTCACATAAATTCTTTTCATTTGCTTCAGAAGCTCCTCAAAAACAGCAACAACAAAACGAAACAGAGGAAAGAGCAACAACGGAGTACGAGACAGCAGACAGCAGACAGCAGGCGAGACAAAAACGGGAAGATGTCTTCATCAGCAGCAGAGAGCAGCCTCAATGACCCAACTTGGCAATGGCAACGGCAACGGCAAAAAGAGTGGCACAGAGACTGCTGCCTGCCTGCCTGCCTGCCACTGGGGCATATGTTTAAACTTTAAAGTAAACGCATTTGTTTTATTTATGCTTAACATGAGTTGCAAATGCCAAAAGCAGGCATCCCGTTGATCAGCTAAAATGAATGAAACCGAATGTGAAGGATCGATCGATCGACTCCCTGGCTTTCCTTCGCGAGGTACAACGCAGAGACACTCGTAACTCAGAGAGCACAAGCAGTGGAACGCAAGCAGCAAAACGAAATTGACTTATAAAGATCTCAAACTAACGGGCCACACACAGACTCGCGATCCACAGACAGTCGGAGAGAGCGACAGACGAAGAGAGCCGCGGACGGAAACGGAGAGGAAACGGAGACTGGAAACAGATACAGCAATGTGGAGCCGGTCTGTGACCCTCCCCCTCTCTCTCTCTCTCTCACTCTCGGCAGCAGAACGAGTCACATGAGCTGGAGCCATGGCCCGAGCTTCGCTGTAAGCGATCTGTTTGGCTCCACAGATTAGATCTCGGCTCGTATCTATATCTAATGATCGCACATTCAAGTCAAGATCATTAATAAGCCATAAAAGACAACACGTTGTTGTCTGTGGCAATATTTACAATATTTACATGTGAACAAAAAGTGAAAGCTCTCTCTCCAGCCACGCCCTGCCCGGCCCTGCCCTGCCCTGCCCTGCCCCCATCGATGATGGATGGCAATCGCCCAAAAACTGATCAACAGATTAGGGCGAGGGCTCGGGTGGCTCGGGTGGCTTGGGTTTGAGCAAATTAAAGCTGCGGTTAGCGTCAATCGCTTGCCAGTGATGAATATTGACATGACGACGGCGTTGCTCATCGATTTGATTGCACGTTTAATTGAAATGATTGACACGAGAGACACGAGTGGATGGATGGATGGATAGCTGCAAAGATGTCTGGATAGATGACAAACGATGCCGCTGCCTTGTCAGGCGTTTTGTCTATCGCTCAATCGGTGGACTGTTGCCTCGAAAATAGCCACTTAAAGCGCTGCAAAGGCAAAACATGACAGCATTCCAGCGCATAATTTGCTAAACTCCTGCATGGAAATATGTTGTATTTAATATTACTTAATTGCTCTATCAGCGTTGCACGTTGCACGTTGCACGTTGCACGTTGGATTTGCATAGCCCTTGCCAGCTTTGCATATGAAATTGGCGGTGTCAAACGTGTCTCCTCCCACGTTTTGTCTTTCATCCCCAGGCGCTTCATTGAGTATGCCACAGGGAGACGTCGAAGGTGTCACACACAGAGCCCAAAGACAGTTGCCAAGTCGGCAAAAGAAAGTAAATCAAAGGAAAGGAGCCAGAGTCCCAGAGTGTCAGCTAAAATCCTCCTCCCTGCTTGGTATATCGCTTACAAATAGATGTGTAACATTGATTGGGTCCATGGATCGCAGCCGGTTTGACAAATTGCAAACCGCATTTTGTGCGCTGATATTAGCAAACAATTTCATTAAGAAACTGAAATCAATACGTGGGGAGGCATCATCAGGTGGCAGACCTCAAGTACAACGACGACAGCAAGCGACACCGATATGGGTAGCCAAAGTATCTGTATCTATATCTGTGGCTGTAGCTTTATCCTCGGCCAGAGCTTGCCTTAATAGACTCGTTGCTTTGGCTTTGGCTTTGGCTTTTGTGCAATTGAGGTGTGAACACTTTACGCTTCTATGGGTATTTCGACTAAATTAATGCACTTTTACGGCCTCTCAATTAACGCAATCAAACGCTCTAGATACAGACTACAGCCTCCAGTCAGTCGATTGTCAGTCAGACTGACTGACTTTCACCCTAATGAACACATCAGAAACTTTGATCTCCGTGGACCACCCGCCGCGAGTGAGTGTTTATTTTTGGGGCTGGCTCTCGAGGCCATAAAACTGATTTTAAAACAAAAGCCAAAGAGAGCGATCTCTGAGGCGATCAACCGACCAATCAAGCGACTAATGAATATTTAGATTAAACCAACGACTGCCACAGCAGAAGGCCGAACCAAAAAAAAAGAAGCCAAGTGAAGCCGATGCGATGCTCCCTCCGTCGGCAGGGCAGCCCCAAATAATTTGTAGATCAATAAATGTTCGCTTTATGGCTCTATTAGTGGCCTGGGACTTGGATTATTCTTCGTGTGTGGCATGGGGCAGGGTTGCCACCACATCAGCAAAGCAAATATGCGAATAAGTGTGTTCACGCCGACATTAACATCAATCTTCCACGGATCAAAGAGATGCAAAGCACTCGAGACGAGACCACACCAAAAGATTCTCATCATCATCTTCATACCGAAAGCGCCGACCCATCCACGCAGTCAAGCGCATAAAATAATAATGATAATGATAATGATAATAATCATAATAATCATCTTCATCATGCAGCAGCTCAGGCTCCAAACCAAAGCCAAAGCCAGAGCGGGACTCTTGCTGGAATTTGCCTCTCGCTTGCGGCACTCTCTCAATGCCCTACAGTCGAAGAATCTTTCTCGAGTGTCTGGAAGTACAGCCTGCTATGCCCTGCGATTGCTGGCTGCTGTAGCGTATCTGGCATGTTAAATCTTGAAATGTCTTAATAAAACAATTAATAGCACAGCTCGGCTCATAAGATTTTGTTGCTTTTTTTTCTACATGCTGAAGCTGGCTTCTCATATTTTTCACTCCAGACACAAGCGGCAGCGCAGGAGCGCATTCGAGGGGCGCATAGAGGGTGGTGGAATGCAGTGGAGTTTGTCGGGAGTGGAGAGTCTATGCATTTTAAAGGTAAGCAAAATGCATTCCATTAGCTCGCAATCTTCAATTTCAATATTAAAGTTCTTAAATTAATCTAAGCCCAACGTAAAACCAAACTGAATACCGCATTTAATGCAACTCCGCTCCTGCATCCCACATTTGTTTTATGCCCAGCCGAAGAGCGGAGAGCTGGCCCGATCGCTCTCTCGTTCCCTCCCTCATTCGTGGGTTCGTTCCCTCGTTCGTTCGTTCCGTTGGTTCGTATGTCGTGTACGTACTATAAAGTAATTGAAAAGCACAACAGAGATTGTTTTAAATATCAGCAGGGCGAGCCGCCCAGGTTGACCACCTGTGCGGTGTTCGGCCAGTGGATTTATGGGCACCGACTGTGGCTCTCTGTCTTCTGGCTTTGGCTGCAGCTGATCTTGGGCTTGGGCTTGGGCTTGGGCTTGAGCTTGGGCAACTTCATTATCGTCTGACGTTTGACGATCATCATGATCACCATGACTGCCTGACTCTCTCTCTCTCTCTCTCTCTCTCTCTCTGTCTGTCTGTCTCTTATGCTAATTTCGAAGACGATGCTGGGATTCTGCCATGTGGACCACACACGTCGTCGATCGATTTGCAGCGTTCGTCTCCACAGCTTTTTATTAACAAAATCCCCCCGAAAGAGAGAGAGAGAGAGAGAGAAAAAGGGAAGTGTATTCGCCACTGGCCTTTGATAAATTATCGACAAAATGATGCGACGATCACTTTTAATTTGGTTTACTTTTAGCTTTAACTTCCAACTTTTACCTACCGCATTCCTAAGTATCGTTTCGGGTAAGCGGAGTTCTCTCAGGCCCCCGACTTGATTGCAGAAGACTCGAATGCTGCTGCTGCTGCTGCTGCTGCTGCTGCTGGCGCGGTTAATTAAGTTATCAAAGTCTTTATGACGTCAGCAGGTTGCCGCACAGGCGAGGGGCAAAACAGTAGGAACGGCCGCAGCT